TGCAAATTAAATTACCTTTAACATGTGATCATTATTAGATCTTTATCATGTGAACATTTATCATTACTATTAGATCATTTATTAGATCGACATATATCATTATTATTAGATGTTTATTATTTATCATGTGAATTAAATGGGCATTCAAAATTCTGCCTCTCGTTTTCTCCCCAGTTTTCTGTGTATAAGCTGTTTGTTTACTTTACTCTTACTTCTATCGATAAGTCAGAATGAAAGAGATGATTAATGGCTGTATACTTATTTTAAGATTGAGCAATTTCCTTTCGACGGATAATTTAATAATCATCAGTCTTTATAGGTTCCATTTCACATACAATTAAGTTGCGTGGATAAATACAATTCAACAATAACTATTACCATATTTCCTTTCCTCACGTATTCCCATCTTTTTTTTACTAGTTTTACTGTCCAAAAATCCAGAGGGAAAAATTGTGCGAGTAATTTAATTTCCGAAGGGCTCGGTTAAAATAAAATCTTAATAATAGTATATAAGTAGTCATAGATAAACTACTGAAAACTATCACGATAAAATTTTTTAAAAAGAAACGTACTTTCCAATAAGAATATAGAGTAATATTAGCATTACAATATCTAATTAGATATCTTCATTTCTAATGCCCTCTAACGTGAATCTGCCGTCCCTGTTTTTGCTCACTGCTTTTCCTAGGCCTCAAATCATTCAGTGCTACTGGAACTGTTGTTTGCTACAGCTTGTAAGTCGTAACTATCGCTATCGCCTTCGTCACCGTTAAGTCCATCTTTCCGCGCATAATGATCTTCAGAACTATCAAGAGCACTAGATATCCCTGTTTTCTTGAAGCTTTTCGCTATTAACCCTCCAAGTGGCCGAGCCGTATATATACGTTCAACCAAAATTGTGCTCTAAGCGTCCAGCAAGCATATATACGTCCAACCAAAATCCTCTTCTAAGCGCCCAGCAAGCATATATACGTCCAACCAAAATATTGCTCTAAGCGGCCAGCAAGTATATATACGCTCGCGTTAGGATTTCTTTCCCCCAGCAATTTCGACGTGAGTGATTGCACTAATAGGCTCCCTGCTGGGAAGGGTTTCGCTTTTCTGAAATTTAGCTTGTTATTTTGGGGTTGCTGCACATAACTGTTGAGTCGCCAAACATCTATGTTTTGTTCGAATTTTTAATACTGCTATCGAATTAGCCAAGACAGCAGAAATACTTTCAACACGTAATGAAAGTAAAAATGGAATTTATTTCTTCATCTAAAATCTGAAATGGAAAATAAAAATAATTGAATAATAACCCGCTCTTCAACTAAAATTCTGGTTTGACAGTTTGAAGCTAATATATAATCCAGAGTATTTAATCAAAGTTCCTATTTTTAATTAGAATCGAATATCCGCAACACAATAAGTTGAACAGAATCATAAAAATAAATTTTAAAAATGTTAATGATTTAACGTACCTTAACATTTAATGAAGATTTGTTTTAATAGAAGCATATCGGTATAGTATTGAAATTTAAATATACAAGAGATGTTTTAATCACAGACTTTTGACAGCATAAGACTGATATTAACGTTATAAACATAGAAACATCTTTATTTTCGGAAATACTAGAATAATAAACATGTTACAAGAATTTTAAATAATCGTAAGCTTTAAACTGATACTCGTTGAAACCAGGACTGACGTCACAGCAGGAGCGGTATAATAAAAAGGCGAGAAAATTTTTAGAATTTAGAAAAACACTGAGCAGCAAAATTTAGGGATGGCAAAAATTTTGGACTTATACACAAGGTAATACACAAGGCAGAGGCATTTAGAAGCTGAAAATGTTTTTTAATTTAGTAATGCACCGCAAAGCAAAATTTAAAACCTTCAAAAGTTACGCCGATCGGCAAAATGCCTAGCGCCGGCCATGGTTGCTACGCCTCGACGTATGCTATCATATGTTAGAGGTTCTGAACTTTATTAAGTAAGCACAGTAATGAGCAGAGTGATTTTTTATTAAATATAGAAGTAAACGAGTAATAAAATAAATATTATCATTCTTTTTCTATACAACTTTTCCTTAACTTCATTTATTATTAAATTATTGTTATTATTATACCAATACCAGCTACTTATGGATCTTTCACTACATATTTTAAAGGCGATAACTGAATTCATCTCCCGCAGTAATCTATAGTATAATAAACATATATTTAAATAGCCTATTGTTTCGTATATGTTTGGGAAAATGGCCTAATTTTCATAACAGCAATCTTACAAATAATAAGCAATTTAAATCCGAATAAAAATATTTTATTATTCCAAAGGGCGTTAGCCCAGAAGGGCTGTTAATTTCCTTTTGGCATTTTGCGTCGATTCACTTTCTGCGTTGATTCACTTTTCAAACTGTTGCCATCAAATATTACAGCCCTGTATTATATTTAAATAAATTAAATAATGAAGAATTCTCATAAATGCATGTATGTTTCTCGCATTGTGATAAAACAATGGTACTTAGAGACATCAGATTTTGAATAGCGTAATCTTCCACCAAATATGGTCATCTGGAAACCCTAATTTGGAATTTGTTTTATTATCGATTTCATATTTTGGAACACTGTAAGGAACTCTTGATAAACAAACTCAACGATTTCAAAGTGAGCAATGACAATATTGTACGGGGGGGGGAATTATCACCAACGCTCGAGACTGTGTTTCGGAAATTCTAATGATACGCTTATTTTAAAATTATTTTGCGATATTGCTGTTGAATTGAATTCTATGGTTTAAGTGAGACGAACATAATATTTAATAAATGAAAGTAACACACAAAACCTTAAAATTGGGCGTAATGTAAAATCTGAAAACGTTTTCAGATTTTATTTATTTTTTGTTCTCATTAAAACTGCAGTTGTGACGTGAATACCAGCAATTTTTCTTACAAATTCTCTCTATAAAGATGTCTACCTCAAGGTAAATAGCTTTTCCGTGCATTTCCATTTAACTTTATCAAATCTGTCTACAAACACAGACGTCTAGTGATTATCTGAACAGTATAAAAACGTAGTCGTTTAATACGTAATGCTTAAAAAAATGTTATACATTTTATTACAGTGTATTGTAAAAGGTGTTGCTTAAACACTGTCATAAAGCAGTGAATGAGAAGAAAAAAAAAGAGCTTCTCACTTTTCATACAGCTGTTAACAGGATCATTATTTTTGTTTTTCAAACAGAGAACGAAATTTTCAGAATAGAGAATTTTCAGAGGATGAAATATGTCGAAAGAAATTAATGGTGTTACCGCAATTTCGGTTTGCGAATTTTAAAAAATCCATACAATATGCACAAATCTATAACATCACTTGAATGATTTTTAATACCCAATTTAGAAGACAGACCTGATATTTGATCAATATGCTTTCAGTTTTTATCTTCTTCTCGGTATTAATAGATTGAATACGTAATTCAATTAAACTTTTCCTTGAAAGCATCAATTTCATTTGTAAATGTTTGCTAATACTAAATACTAATATTATTAAAATTCCCAGCCTTAGTAAAAGGCCAACCACTGGCAGAGTGAATAAGAGTACTGTAATTGTGTTAAGCCGGCGTTAAAATCCCAGAGAATGAGGTGGTTACTTAGTCGTTTTTGTATTTTTTTTTTTTTTCTTCCATGAGCAATGCGAACACGAGCTAGTTGCCCTTGAAAAAATCCTCCTCGTATGCGTCCTTTTGCCTTAGGGTAAATAGCCCTCGTATGCTATATCAGGTGCGCTGCAAACTCGGGAAAGTTTATATTCTTTCATTATAGTTAATTAAAAAAGCAATTAAACCCAATAATACTGTTTATGGATGTTTCAGAAGTTATTCAAGACTTAAAAAAGCATACTACTAGTGCCTTTTGTAAGCGTTACTAGAACAGAATTTTTGATAGGATTAAATTAGATCAAGAAAATTGCAATCTATTGGCTAGCATTAAAGAGAAACAATTAATTCCAAATTATCATTCATTTCAACATGTTATGGACAAATCTTTAATTAAAAAATACGTATTTATAACAAAAGCAAGATCAAAAGAGGAAAATATTTCAATTTGATTGTGAAGAAGTAGAAAAATGCAGTAAATTTTTCGTATGCTTTAAGAATTCTTCAATTTCATAGTATCGACCTAGCGGTAATGTCTCTGAACTGGTAGTTTGACCTAGGTTGAAATCCTAGTGAACGAGTGGACTGCATGGGAGTTTTAATGGTTTCCTTTTCTGTAGCGTGAATACGAGATATTTTGCCTTCAGAAGTCTTCACGAAAGCATCCTTGTTCATAGGCAGATAGTTTTAGTCTCTTAGGTAAGAAGAATCGTAGGTTACCTCACTTGCGTAAACAAACGAAAGTGAGTTCTCGCTCTAAATTGGCTCTTATAGACTTTTGCATTAATTTAAGTTTAATGTAAATTTGAACGTGACTGTAAAATTAATTTTTTTATGTCACAAATATTATTAAATTTATATAGCATAATCATTGGTACGCAAGTGAGCTAACCTGTTCTTCTACGGACTTTGAGTCATTACGGCTTTTGATGGTGCAGACGTGAAAAGTGTACATTGCCCTTTGCCGGGATTTGAACCCTGGAGCTCTCGAATACGCGTCGAGTATGCTTCTAATTACACCGCGATGGATTACGTAAAGGAGGGGGGAAATACCTTATTAATTAAACTAACTATCATAGTGTCCAAACTCTGCTATTCTATTCTAAGCAAGGCATTGAAGAAAGTTGCTCTGCAGTAACTCTTATTCTCGAAGTAAAGGAAAACAAACTACTGAAATATTATGTCTTTTGATTGTAATCAATTTTGAGCTTTCCTCGCTTGGAAATATAGTTATTTTAAAGAATTTTTTTTTCCTTTTATGAAAAAAACGATCTACTGTTTACTGAGATCAATGTAATAGGAAAAAGAAACATAATTTATCATATCAAATATACATGAAAACAATGAACAAATTAGAACTCACTTCAGTTATCTGCAATCAATGCATATATTCTCTAGGAATACATCAAAGATGAATGCGTTGATTATATAATGGAATTCACGGATTTATATAAGATTAAAAGCACTTCCTTTATTAGGGACTTGAAAACGATATCTAACGACGCAGGTGTGGAATTGCAATTAAAAAGCGCATAGGATAAGCGATTTTGTAGAAGAATAACAAATATCATAAGCTTGAATTTTTTGTCGGTTATGGAACTTAGAATTTCAAAATTGTGAACATTACTGATAAAACAGTATTAATAATAATAATAAATAATATTTAAATAATAAATTATAAAATGTTATATATATTATTAATAATTATTTAATAAATATTATTAATACTTATTACTTAATACATTAATAATATATTATTCAAATAATAAATTATGCAATAAGAGGCGTTTTTTTTAATGTTTTGTGCGTTACCTTTATTTATTAAATATCACGTTCTTCGCACTTAACCATAAAATTCAATTCAACAGCAATATCGCAAAATAATTTAAAAATAAACAGATCTTTAGAATTTCCGATTCAGAGTCTCGCGCGCTGAAGGTATTTTTTTTTTTTTTTTTTTTTTAAATCTCTTACAATGTTGACATTTCTCGCTTTGAAATTGTTGAGTTTGTTAATCAAAAATTCTTTAATGTCTGACAAAATATGAAATAAATAGTAAACCAAACTCCAAATTAGGGCTTCCAGAAAAGTGAATCAACACAGAAAGTGAATGGACACAAAATGCCAAAACGAAATTAATATCCTTTCTGGGCTAATGCCCTTTGGGCTAAAATGAAACTACACTATGAATTTTTTTTATTTATCCAAGTTATTTACATTTGCAGAGTAAAAGAAAAATCTGAAAAGTTTCAGATTTTAAATTACGTCCAAAGGGACTTTTTTTTAACATTTTGTGTGTTACCTTTATTTATTAAATATCACGTTCTTTGCACTTAAACAATAAAATTCAGTTCCAGAGCAATATCGCAAAGTAGATTTAAATTGAGCATATCTTTAGAATTTTCGATACACAGTTCCGCGTGCTGGAGATAAAAAGGTTTTTTCTGTACAACATTGCCATTGCTCGCCTTTAAATCGTTTAGTTTGCTACTCAAAAATTCGTTAAAGTTTTACAAAATATCAAATCGATCACGAAACAAATTCCAAATTTCAAATTTGGGCTTCCACATACCCATATCCGCAGTAGGATAGGATACGTCGTTCAAAATTCGATGGCTGTATGTACCAATGTTTTTATCACAAGCGAGAAATATACATACATTTATGGCAGATTTTTCATCATTTAATTTTTTCAAATATAATGCAGGACTCTAACATTGGGTGGCAACAGTTTGAAAATTGAAACGGACATTTATAGTGAACCAACGCAAAATCGCAAAACGAAAACAATAGCCTCCAAGGACAAAGCCCCTTTGAACTAAAAAGGATATTAGTGAAAAGACTTAGACATTATTCTTTAAATTGTTAAGCATTATACTTTAGATTAACCTTTGAGAGAATTTAGGGAATAACGTAAGAGTTTCACTTATCATACAGTGTTAAAAATCTTTACTGTCCTTTTTTTGTTTGTTTTGTTTTTAGTTTTTTGTTTTGTTTCTAAAAATTGTTGCAACAAACTGTAGTTTTATTCTTGAAACGTAATTCTAACTTGAAACAGGAATGAAAGCTTGAAAAAAATCTTCAAATGAAATGGCAGATACTTTCTCACGATTCCGAAAATCAAAGATATATATCGTCTGCATCTTTCCTTTTGGATACAGGGCCAAGTCAAAATTGCTTGAATGCGGCGGGAGCGGGGGGGGGAACAGAAGAAAAGGCTTTACTGTCCTTTTTTTGTTTGTTTTGTTTTTAGTTTTTTGTTTTGTTTCTAAAAACTGCAGTAGGTTGTCCCTGCCTTTTCTTCTTTCCCATTCTGTCTGTTTCATTGTGACTGAGGGTAATAAAATTTCCCGCGTTGCTGGAGAAGTTGTCCCTTCATCTAAATTAGGTTGCAATAACTGTAACGTTTTGGACCCCCTTTTTTTTCCTTTTGAAGGATTTTCTAAGCTTTCACATTAAAGAAAAATTCTGATATTTTGTATTTCCTATCTGTTGTCTAAAAGTGTGTAATACAGAAGATGTAAATCCTTAGTTCAATTTCAATCAAATTTAATCATATTAAAATTATTATTTTCTTAAATCACTGAATAATAATTTACGATAAAAATATCAATCATTCGTATAATGGCATATTTTAAAATTTTTTACGTCGTTCGTTTTAGAGTTTCGGATGACCTCTTGTTGTCCATCCATTAAAAAGTATTATCCACTGAACGATGAGTGCGCATTCAAAACATAAAAATTTTAAAAGTAGATGAATAAAGATTTTAATTAATTTTGGAAATAGGTATAGTCTACACTAAAAATGGATAAAAAATATTTGAGCTATCTTATTCCAAAAGCGTTAAATTTCTAAAAGCATTTCAAAACATTTTTGATTGTTGCTATGATAAAATAATACGAAATACCAAAAGCAGATTTTGGTTTTTGAAATAAATTACTATCATGAAACTACATTTATAATCTACATTTATAATATTCTGTTGCATTCTGATGACCATACTTTAGATACTCCTTCCAGTTTTTAAATTAAATGTTGAATAGAATTGCAGATATAAATTTATGCACAATGAGAATGAAATTTACGTATGGTGGAAATAATCATACAATACTTGCCACCAAGAATAATTCTATGTAACAGAACAGTACTTCAGGTTCTGCATATAAAACTGTAAAATGTTAGTTATATTATAAAATGTTCAGGAAACATCAAGAATTTCACTTTATTTGTAATCATTCTCATTCAGCGTTGCAAGTAAATTCATGGTAATCATGAACTCCATGTGTGCAATTTTCGCTCAATCAATCAATCGAGCATTTTCAATTATTAAATATCCATTCATTATATATATCATTTCCATAGTAAAGTTCTCGTTTTCTTCTTTACTTACTCAAAAAGAAAGCTAGAAAAGTACATCGTTCGAGAGTCCTCCATTTTTTGAGGTATATTTATCGAATTCCATTAAATTATTTGTCTAATGTGTAGTTAAGAGCTGAAGGTTAAGAATTATGCAGTTAAGAACTTTTTTGACTGAGTCAAATTTTGAAATAAATTTCTGATTTGCTTTGCCAATTTCAGTTGCTTCTGCAGAGTCGTTTCTGCAACGTTAGTACAATATTTCACCGAATACACCGAGTTTTCCGATTTGGTATTTTTATTCTGACAGAAAATTCAGTGTGGGTCCATAAGGTTCAAATTTTTCTTTGTGTTTCTAACCACATTATTAGATTTAAAAAGACATGGAGGTGCTTCAAATTACAAAACGAACAAAAGTGTAGGAAATTAAAAGATGCAAAATGAAACGTATTAAAAAATCTTTTTAATTACTCAGTTTTCAGAACGTCATTGGACGCCTCGGTTTAAAATGTAGCTAGTGGGTTATCAGGTCAGGGTATTTGGATATGACAAAGCACACGACGGCTGTCCTAAGGGAAGGTATATTTTCGAGGACGACTTGCTCAGCGAAACTAGGTCGTATTCACATTACACAAGCAGAATGCCACAAAATGGTCTATATAATAACAACCCGCTCTTCTGCGCAATAACCTAGGTCGAACTACCAGTATACAACTGTTTACTACTTCTCGACCACAAGTGGAGCCCCTACTCCACAGATCACGTGATTTAACGAACAGAAATTTTTTTTCATTCTTGATTGTTCGCTTGATTGGATTTGATGCACACAAAGGCTACATACCTAAGGGAAGGGATGCCTTCATGGAGGACCTTTTAAGGAAAATTAACTCCCATTCATGCTATACAGTGGAAAAATCGCTTTTCTTGTTGAATTGAAATTTTAAGCTATAGCTATCCTGGGTAAGGAAACGAAATTAAATAAAAGAATTTACATAAAGTTCAAAATATATACGTTAAAGTATATGTGTTTTTTTAATTATAAGTGTTTAAAAATAATGAGGACAAGGATCCTTTGAAAAGTGTTGTTGTATGATTTTGACTTTAGTATCATATGATCAGAACTGTTGGGATAATTTAAGAATTATTTTTTTATTTTTCAATGCATTCTGATAAAACTTGCATATTAAAGATTTTATATATATATACATATGCATGTATGTGTAAATTTCCACACAGAGCATGATTTCAAGTATCATATTTTTGAATTTTCAATATAGCAAATTAATAAGAAGAGAAGCATGCCAATATAATAGTTAAAATTTGTAAAAAAAGTAAACTTTAAATTCGCGTAGATTTTTAAATAAACATTTATCAATTTCAAGAGCGAACTGGCATAAGTCCTTCTTCAGACGCGAAACAGATTTACTGCAATTTGCCTGCTCAAGATTGCTCTAGAAATCGATAGTGTATTATATCCTTACGTATTTTTTCCCCTATCGTTTTAGCTGCAGGCTCCGTAAATTAAAAAATATTCCTGTAACTTTCCCCTTCCTCAATGCGTTCAGAGGATGCAGTCCTCTAAATTTTAAATTGGATTCGTCCACGTCGTGATTGTTTTTCATCTTATTGACAAAAACAAATCCCTGCAAACTACCTGTGAAGGTAACGCGAACCTTTCCCTTCTAACTCTTGAAATTTATGCCTAATACAAGAACCGACGAATAACAGCGAAGTAAACCCGAACTGACATTCACTCTATGATTTATCTAACTCAGCTACACATTCCTCTTCTCTAATTATTTACGGATGTCTTGGAGCCTAGGAGTAGCAGCGACAACTTTAAAAACGGGAAAGCATCAGCTTTAACACTGTACAGAGAAAAAAACATTTCTTATTTAATGTCATATAATTTTATCTAACACGATTCAAGACACACTTATTTCAAGGCATTTTAATTTAATTCTGAAACTATATTTCCGTTCAAGAATGTGTTTCTAGAATTTATAACAAAAAAAGACGCTTCTTTAGGGAAATGTTTAAAAACAGTTTTAACTTTGAAAATACAGCACCTTAAAACTGAATTT